CTTTCTCTTTCTAGAGCAAAAAAAATGGGATGGGCACCACAGAACATTTTTCTCTGTTACAGCAAAACCATTATGAATGCTGAGGATTGAAAAGACTATCTATTGAGTCAACTTGTGAAATGCGACTGCTCTGAGCTAGTAGCTATAGTTTAGTATGGTAATTTGTCAGAAATGTAATATAGGTTATCCAACTTTAACACACAGGCCCAGTATCTGCTTAAAACATCCTGGTAGAACCATCAAAAAATCCTACCAGTTCAACCAACAGTGCATTTAAACAGATCCAATGAGAGGCAACCAATGAGAATAGTCATGTTAAGACAAGGAGGAAGCAAACCCAGCAGCAAGAGACAGGAGGAGCTGAAAACCTGATCTCTCAATTACTCTCATATTCCTGTTCTTAGTCCAGACTTGGCTAGGTGATTCCATTGAGAAATAATGTCCCAGAAACAGCTTTGTCTCCCAGTTTGGCCCTGATCTCCACTTCTGGCTCTTTGAGTACCCCTCTTCCTAGCCTCCTACTGCCACGGCCATTGAAGAAACACAATGGGATCCCTTAGGGGAAGAAGACCCCTGCCCCATTCAAGGAGCTCTTGCATGGACAGTGCGATGGAATGTCCTCTTCTCACCCTGAGGATGGAGCTTACAGCAGCAACCTTCCAGATGTCCCAGGCCAGAAGGCGTTTCATGGAAAGAGTTAGGCCAATTCTGGGATAATTGCATTTATTTCCTAATTATTTCTAGCAGCAGATGTAAACAACCATTGGGATCCTTCAAGGTCATTTCCAAAAATAACAGCTAAGGATCCTGGAAGAATTCTGCCTCTGACCACACGCCTGGCCAAAAGGAGGGACGAAAAGGCCAGAAGACCAGAGATGATACCATAATAACATCTTACACTAATTAAGCATATACTATGCACCAGGTGCACAGAGTAGAACAGACGTGAGTAAAATATGTGGTATTTATAGTCACAACAGCTAAGAGGGAAATAAGTGCAGGAAAGGGGCTTAAAAAGTTACAGGGATGTAATCTTAAATTGGATAACCCAGAGAGGCCTCACTGAGAAGGGGTACTGTAGAAAAGATTGGGATGGAGTAAGAAGTGAGTCAAGCAGGTTTCTGGGGAAAAGCATTCCAGACAAAAGGTAAAACAAGTTCATAGTTGCTTAGGAGGGAGCATATGTGGTGTGTTGTAGGAACAGGAAGTATACCAGTGTGGTAAAAGCACACTGACGGGGAAAATAGGAGAAGTCAGAAGGGGCTACATAGTGTTGAACCTGATAAGTTAACTAAGTTAATTTTAAGGACTTTTTCTCTTACTCTAAGAGAGATGAGAAGATGTATAAGCAGAGGAATAGGATGAGCTCACTTACAAGGCAGGAGTGTTGCTCTGGCTGTGTGTGACCTAGACTTTGGGATGGAGCAAGGATGGAAGCAGAGAGAGAAGTTGGGAGGGCACTGCAAAAATACAGGGCAGAAATGGTAGGGGCTCTAGGCTGGTGACATGAGATGGGGTGAGAACTGGTCAGATTTGGACTGTATCTTGAAGGCACAGCTGCAGGATTTCTGAACACACTAAACCCTGGCTGTAAGAGAAAGAAGTCAAGGACTACTACAAGTTTTCTGACCCAAGCAGTCAAGAAAATGGAGCTGCCACTTGCTGAGAAGAGGAAATAAGAAAACAGGTTTTAGGAGAAGCCTATCAGAGTCTCTGTCCAAAAAGTGATGTTGATAAAGGGAATAGCCTTTTTGATTTAGAATCTTTAGAAGATATGGCTCTTGTATTTAGATTTCCAATTTTACCTAAGCAATTACTCGACCATTATTGCTCATTCACTATGTATTCACTCATGCACAATTCATTCATTCATTCAACAAACGTTTACTTAGTGTCCATTATGTGAACAGTGTGCAATAAACAAGAAATACTTGGTTCTTTTCCTTATAATACTTATTTACAATCTAGAGAGGAAACAATAAGCAAATAATTATGCAAATACATCTATACCTATATATACATATATATGTAGTAACCTACAAACAAAACAAGACAAAATGTGTTAATAAATAGAGAAGTGTTGGAGAACTTAACTTGCCCATGATTGCATAGCACCTAGCTGGAAAGGGACAGGGTTGGAAAATAAACATAAATTGTCTTCCTCCAGAGCCCACATGTTTAAGATTACATTTTTCCATTATGTTTCTCACCAACCTGTTCTACTGTCCTAGATGCATCCAAATCACCATATTATCAACATATTCACCTGAGCATGGCATTATGACCTCCATATGGAAAACTAACAGAGACCCTGCTCTAAAAATCTAAATATCCACAGAGATGCATGCATTTCATACATAGGGAACTGAGTTGGGTGCTATTAATTTCCACTGCATAAAAATGGAAAATAAAACTTGTTTGTTAAAGAATAATACACTTTCAAACATTTCTGAACCCTATCTTCTTTCTCTCCTGCCCTCTCCAACCCTTTTATATCTTCCTCTTTCAGCTCATTCTTTCTTCTTCACATATTCCCCAAGTACAGTATGACAGCACCTTTCTTTGAGACACTCCCTACTGTGAATAATTCATCCATTTATTTAACAGACCTTATTGATGACCTACTATGTGCCTAACACAGCGTTGGCTTCTGGTCAAGAAAGATTAATTATAGTGTCCATGTCTTCCAGGGAAGATGGAGTCTTAGCAGATGATGGGCCCCATAGTCAGTGAGCTGTAGGTGTGGTAAAAAAAAAAAAAAGCAGGTAATACCTGCCCTTTCCTGTAGCATGTTTTTTTTTTTCCATCCTCTTTCTAGAACACTTTTCTTACAGACTATAAGCTCCCTGAGTACTGGGACCACACACCAGTCATTTCTATTGCACCAGCAGCTAATACAATGTCTGGCACATATTGGGCCTCATAAACTGTTTTACATGATTAAGTGAATGAATCTGAGTAAATGAAATTGGGTAATCAGTATGCATCATGAGTGACTTAAAAAAAGCAACAACAACAACGGGATTTAATTAACTATCTCCCTCTTCTCCCAAAGTGTACTCTTGGTACCAGAAGCTGAGTGGGATAGCGGTTTCCTAAGTACAGACAGTCCTACTGGGAAAAAGATGCCTTCATTGCCTTTCCGGAAAAAATCGCATCACATTTAATAGAAAATTTCCTGAGAACCCTCTCCAGGTGAGAAGAGGGTGGACCAGCTGGCCCACGCCTCCCTCGCCTGCCCTCTGTGGGACTCTGCTCTTAGGAGGAGCGCAGCTGCTATGAACTTTTCCTCCCATTAAAAGTTCGGTCAGTTAAACTATAAAACCTCCTTTAGGAGTCCGGTTAAAGAGGTAGGAGCCAAAAAGCTGAGCGCGCCGCGAAAACAAGTGAGCAAAAAGCCGACGGTCTCTTGAGCAAACGCGGTCTCACCTGGCTCCTGCGTTTCAGGAACAGCCTGAAGACCCAGGGGGGACCCGCGGCGGCGAGAGAAGGGAGGTCTGCAGGGAGGCCCGCCACCACCTCCTGTCAGCCTGCTCCCCGTTGCGCTGTCGCCCTCAAAGAGGCCGCCCGATTGCAAGAAGTAGCCACCAAAGGTGGCTGCAAAGGAGCCCAAGAGCAACTACCCACCCGAAGAGTCACACCTGCGCCACCCTGGAACGCTGCCTCCTCTGCCGAGGCTAGACCTTCTCCGAGGACCCCGCCTCCCACTCCGAACCCTGAGTCTGGACTTCCAGCGTCCCTCACCCTCCAGTGTCACTGCCTCCGGCCAGCCTCTCGCCGACTTCTTGTCCCCGGGTCTTCCAGCATTCGGAAGCGCGAGCTCTCTGCGCAGCCCTGAGTAGGAGGCCACGCAACATCCTAGTCGCACCGGTTTCCAACCTCTAACAAGCCCCTGGCTCGCCACTCCAGGGGGGAACGCCAAGGTCACCAGAAGTGTGACTACCTCTACCTTCACGCTCCCCCAATTCCCACCTTTCTGCGATTCCCAGGGTCGGGTTCCTTTCGCGTCCCTCACTCCCGCTGGGGGTCTCCTCCTTAGGCACCCCCTCACCCCATCAGGAGCTCTCCCTGCCTTTGCCCTCCCGGTCCTTGCTCCCTCTGGTAAAGCTCGCTTTCTCTTCCGGGCGAGGCTCTCTCCTGTCTGCCCTCGGTAGCCTCAGAGAAGGAGGGGAGCAGAAATGCCTCCCACTCGCTCAAGGGGAGAGGCGGGGATATCGACGCAAACTTCTGCTGCACTTACTTTGGGCCGAGGCTGCCGCCCCCTCGCCTCCGTTGCTCTCCCACGGGCAGCTGCTCCGCGGCAACCTGGAGCCACCGCGCTCGCATTCCCCACACCGGCGCAGCCGCGAAATGGCAGGACTGGGGTCTCTGCCGGCTGGCGCGCCCAGGGCCGGGGTCCCGGGGCCGAGGTCCGGCCACCGCGCTGGTCGGGGAGCTGAGCAGAAGCCGCCTCCAGCAGCCAAGGGACACTGCGCACCGCGCCGCGCGCCCTGCTCCTGCGCTGGGTCGCTTCTGTCGGAGTTGCAGTTTCAGTGCGTGCCAGGACTGCAGCACCCTCTCCGCCCTCCCCCGGAAACGACTTTCAATTCACCTGCAGGCTCGCGATGCTCCCCCAGGCGAACGGCGTAGCGGCGGGTGCAGAGGAGAGGGAGGAGCGCGCGAGCGGCGGCGGCCCGAGTGCGCCTCCCGCTTCCCAGGCGGGGAGCTCGCAGCGCGCTCCAGCCGCTCTCCTCGGGACTGCAGTCCTGACGTCACCCCACCCCCACCCCGCGGAGGAGCGGCGCCGAGGGTGGGGTGCAGCGAGCGAGGACACGCGAGTGTGAGTGGGAGAGTGAGCGCCTGTGTGTGCACGCGCGCGTGTGCCTCGCGAGGCTGGGGACTGGTTGGAACAGCAGCTGGATCCCACGACGAGCCAGAAACCGAGCTCACTGCAAACCGGCGCCGAGGGGCCGCCGTGAACTGCCGGGGGCGCTCGCTTCCAGGCCGGGGCGGGGACGCTACGGACACTGAGTTTGGACGCGACCAAAGGAAAAGGATGAACGCCATAGAGACCGTGGGAGAGCGGGAGCTGGGCGCTCATTCTCTTCCCCTGAAGTTAGAGGATGCACTGGGTGCCTTTTAAAAGCTGCATATTGAGGTTTAGGAGGAAGAGGGGAGGAAAACGTGCGGGAGGGTTGGTTTTCACGCTCCTGAAGGAAGGAGGCGAGATGGGGAGCTCTCAGGATCCTCTTGGCCTCCACTCCCGCCCCGAAGTCCTGGACGGGAGCCGGGTTTGATGCGCTGAGGGCTCCTCGCGCCACCTCAGGGCAGACACCCAGCCCGCTGCGCTGTGTACTGAGAAGCGGCCGCAAAGGGACCAGTGGGGCTGGGACTTCCCCACCTAATTACCCGCCGCGCGCGAACCTGGCGTTTCCGCCAGCAGCTGGGCGAATGTACCCTGAACCAGAGAAGGGTTCAAGGCCGAGGCAGGACTCTAGATGCGCCGTACCCTACCTACCCCTTCGCTTCTCGGTCTGGGGCCACCCTGGTTAGAACTCTTGAGAAGAGTCCCTTGAGATCAGGGTGAGGCCCCAGTTTGAGGTTTTGCCACACTTCCAGGACCTCACTCTCAAATGGGACCTAAGTAGCCACCCAACTTTCCTCTTTCTCAAGGTGCCGAGGGAAGGTGGACAAAAACACAGATTTTCTGCGGATGCATCAGATGAAGGGTCTTTAAGAGGTTCAAGGATGGCTGAAGATTGTACCTGGAGCTTTGTCCCTTAGCAGCCACCCGGCTGTCTTTGGGGCAGAGTGAGCTGCTGGGGTGCCTTCGGAGCTCTGCACCCCGCCACGGTGCTGAACCTGGAGCGCCCCCTCCGCCTCCTGGCCTGAGCAAATGCCCGATGCGCTCTCGCGTCGCGGGACAGGCTGTCAGCAGCGAGGCAGCAGGTACGCACTGCAGTGACCACCAGAGCAGCTAGCAGTTTTGCCCCAGTGGCATAATAGTGGTTTTTAACATCAAGAGTCTCACCTCCTGAATCCAGAGCACTGTGTGATGACCGAGATGCTATCTCATTCATTAAAATACTTCTTTAAAATGGAAGGGTGGGGAGGAGGAAGTAAACAGAATAGGAGAAAAAGATCCCCTGTCCACAATAACACTTTTTAACTTCAGCTTAATAAAAGCAGGGTCAGTAGAAAGTTTCACTGCAATCCTGAATCTCATATGGAAGCTTTGTTAAGAAGTTTGGGATTTGGTCTACTGCCTTAGGTTTAATAATCTTAGAAACTCTCACATTTGAAAATTAGAGTAGCTAATTGGCAATGTTATGTATATCCTTAGTGAAGGGCTGGATTTAACAAATAAACAGAATAACTAAAATAAAGGTACAGTATGTTCCTAATTAGAACACAACAAGGACATTTCAGAGGACAGAGGGAGTATCAACTTCCGGGTCTTCTTGCAACCTTCCTATTTTTTACCATGAATTTTAAAACACCCTGTCATTGTGAAGGAATTACATAATAGGTCCTAGTTATACATATTTCAGAAACAGCGATTCCTCAGTAGGAATCACTGGTTCCCGAAAATATTAATTCAGATTAACAGTGTGGGAAGAAGTAAGTCATTGACAAAGGAATGGTTTGAAAAGAAGATTGTGGAGTGGCAGCTATGCTGGTACATATGAACCTTATAAGTTGTATCACAATATTGCTCCCATGTGTTCAATGTCAACAGCGAGTTAGCATGCAGTATTAACAGATATGACAGGCTCAAGGACAGAGCCTCTGTAATGACTATTTGAAGTGGCAGGCCTACACAATCCTTCCTTGATTGACTATTGTATTCTGTTCACACCCCCAGGATAACTTTTTTACACATTCTAATATGATTGGTTGTTTGCCTGTCGCCCTTCTAAATTTATAAAATTAATAATCTCCTCCAGGGCAGGAATTTTTTATCTTTTTTTCCACTGGACCCAACACAGTGCCTGTAAATGGCAGGCACTTACTAAATTTATGTTGATTGGATTCATGTGTTTTAAAGAATATAAAATAAGTGCATTTTAAAAACTGTTTTAAACTGACTCATATGTCATCTTACATGACTCAGACAAAATGTATTCAGTATTTATTTGCTTATTTGTTTATTTATACTTATTAATATAGGAAATGAAAAGGAGAGAGGAGCAAAATCAGTTCTCAAAAAGAGACTGACTGAGTGGAAGTTTAAGTTGTCCCTGGAACATCACTTGCTGCTCTTATCCTATAAGAATTTTCCTGTTTTTCAACTGACATTTACATGTTTTAAAACTTTGGCATTTGGAACCCAGAAGCACTGTCCAAAGTACATTGCAAATATTTTTCTGTTGTTCAGAATGCAGTATCTCATTTAAGTTGAATGTATACATTTATAATAAATTAAGAAACCCTGTTAGTGCAACTTGCCCTTGACTTTGCCCTGATCATTGTGAGGACAGCTCACCTAGGCCCAGGCACTGCCAATATGCCCCAACACACTGCAGGCCAATGTTGTGTGACTGTGCTCTCCAACACAGGACACCTACTGCCAGATAGTTCAATTATCAGGCACATTTCAGAGAACGAGTGGAAAATTAGCTACACACACACACACACACACAATCACGCACGCCAATCCATAGCTACCATAGAGCCAGAACATCAAGTTTATAATGAAGAAAGAGCTCTGTTGGGAGTAAAAGGAAGGGGGTGTCAGGGAAAGGGCACTATTTTATTATAACAGTGGCTTTTCATCATACGCTCAATAGCCATTAAAGCCTCTAACCAAACCCTCTAGCAAATACATGTTGGCAAAACTATGAAGACTCATAATTCTGTCCTTCCAGAAGCTATCTCCTGAGCAAAACAATCTTCTGCAACAAAAAAAAAGAAAAGAAAGGAAAGGTGAGAATAGGATAAAACTTATCTCACATAGGACTTATCTAAAAACCAGTTAACATACATATCTTGTATATAATGTGTATGTGTATGCACATACATACATACATATCACTTACAGATTATGCTCAGAATAATTTTAATAAATCTGTCCAATTATGTAGCTGTATTTTTAGAGAAACATTTTAAAAGAGCCTAAAGAGCTCATGATAAAGAAAACATAAAAGATTTTTAGCACTTGTTTTCAGAATATAGTAAATTTGGTATAAAACACTGAAATTTTACTGCCACTTCTCCAGGACTTGGGTTTGTTCTTAGTATTTTATGCTCCATGATATATTAATAGCTTTGTATTTGAACTGTGTGCATAGTGCCCTCTAATCCTGTAGAGTTAACTCCAAAGACAAAATCTAAGTGGTTGATTTGTTTTAAGAAGTTAAAGCCCTAAACTGAGAAATTCAAGTTTCAAAAGTGTGAACCAAAACAAGTAGTTGGCATAATATATTTATAGATAGTACTATTACATATCAGCAATAACTTTGCTAATGAAAATCAGATTTGGTTAGTGTTATTATATTTTAAAATAGTAAATCATTTTGCTTATGCATGTATTCAAATGTTGTAATTCACCCCTCCTAGATTCTCAAATAGGACTTAAAACAAATAATTCTCTGAATCTGCTTTTTCATGAACTATGGAGTACTCAACCTAAATGGACTGTATTGACACCAAAGAACAATTCTGTCACGTTTTGAAACCTCATGAGCAACAGTATAGAGACAGGTTGTTGTTCTATGTGTCAAATTTTGGGGAAGCCTTCCTCAGGTTTTAGGGGTTTTTATAAGGGATACATCTATGTACAGATCTGTTTATATGTAAAAACAATGCTGCTAGTCAGTTTTCAGTTTTCCCATGACTGATATGAAGTCAAGAAAAGCCCTAGCCAAGAGAAGAGATTTAGAAGGTCGAGTACCTCTCAGACTTGTTTCCTGCCCTCCAAGAGCCTACAGTCTGGTGCCTTTGCTCTTTCACTTCTTTCCTTGTGAACTCCCCAGGAGTTGTGCTTTATGATCAAGAGATCCAGACACCTAATCCAAGTAAAGGAAGACTGAATTTCTGGGAGCTAACTAAAGTTCTAGAAAATACTTTTAAGTGGATTTAATTACAGTGTTGGAGTCTTCCCAAATTGTATGGGGCAACTTCAACCTAAAACTACAAGACCACCTGCTTTTGTCCTTCAGCCCTTCAAAAACACTTATTTCTTGAATCCCATTTTGTTTGATCTTCCTCCATTTATGCACCAGAACTTAGATACCTCTGGGCAGAGCCCTTGTCCACTTATGTGTTTATAAAGCATTACATACACTTACTGCACTCGATAAATAATAATAACAGTAATCACCCTCTATACAAAATTAGAATGTTAGCATATTCAACAAGTCTAGTATGCTGATTTGCTTTAGTGCTTCATAATTATCTCATGAAACCAGTGGTATAATGGCCACTACATTATACAATCTTTCATAAATATGTTACTATATATTCTGGCAGAGAGATGCACCTGTGGTTTTCCTCCACCCTCCTCTAAGATACAGAAATGGCAGGGTGATACTTAAGTGGTATTCATGTTGCAAACTATTCCAAGGAATCTCCTTTTCAGCCTTTTCCACCCCAAAAGCCAGCCAGCATTAAGCATGGTTAAGACATTATGGATTCTAAGGGAGTTACTTGAACAAGAAGAGGGAATGTATAATTTGCCCCACCTAAAGAACAGCATGAGAATTGTAGATTGCCACTCACTTATTGCAGGCAAGGCAGGGCACAGGGGCATTTATATAAGCTTTAACCATAGGTAACTACCAGTGGCCACCATTGGAAGCTTATTGAGCTTTCGTTGTCTCGTCAAACAACAAAGGAATGTTATTAGCCTTGACTTTGTTGTAAACACAGTGAACTGCCTCTCCTTTTCAAACTCAGAGGAAAGAGCAAAGAAACTGCTGAAAATGCAGTCGACAGATACCTCTGGGTTTGTAATGAGCAACACCGCTGATCTCCTGCAGCAAACTTGCCAGGCTGAGGTAATTAAGTTAGTACTGCAGCTGAAATCATTAAGCAGACAGGTTCCATGCCCAAAATACCCGTGCCATTTGAAAATATATAGTGTTGAAAGAGCAGTACTACATAAAACTGAAAACCTCACACCATTTTACTACCTAAGAAGAGAGAGCTCCCTGCCTTCCTTGCTTTTTGCCCAAGGGTTTTCTTCTAATGCAGCAATGTTATTTTAATGTGCCAGAATGGAAACCTTGGTCAGAGAGTTCTGCAGTCAAAAATTCCAGTGTCTCAGGCTGTATTTTTAGTCTTCTGAATTAATTGGATATAGCACCATATAGTAAAAATCTCTTTCATGCTCTTGCAGAAATACCTAAGGCATAGTTCCCAGAAAGAACTACGGGCTGGCCACAGAGCTGAGACACTGCAAAGGGGCCAGATCTGCACTCCACAACCCTGGCTTTCCAGTTCTTTCCAGCAGAGGAAACCCATTGATTTTTACAATATATGAGGCTGAGCTTGGGAAATGTTATCATTTGAAATATTGTGCCACCCACCAAAATAATCATTAGGTATGTATGTCTTCACTTGCTGCTACCTAAAAAAAAAAAAAAAAATCTGTCTTTACCTAATCTTCAGATTTGTATGTAAAAGATCGTGGTACATGAGAAATGTAAGTCAAAATGCCTTCCAGGACATTCCCATTAAAATGATAAAAGAACTATACAGTTACTCTACCTGTTCTCTAGTGACTTCTTCTGAAGTTTTAAGCCATATATTTTAGTTAAAACCCATCAGAAGATATATGCTACTCAGTGCTGGGCAGGCAAAAATATATATCAAAGGAGAAATATTTATAATGGCAATGGATGCGTGGGGTTCCCAATAAAAGGAACATGTTCCAGCTTGAGTTTCAGCTTGCATCCCAGACAGCTACTTATAAGGAGGGTATTATCAGTCAGGGCTCAGGATAGGAAACAAATTACTCTGGATATTCTTAGAAAGCAGTGATTCAATGTCTGGAGTTAGTAGATCACAAAAATCACTGGAAGATCTAGAGGAAAAAGTTCTGACCAAAAACCTGAGCCTCCAGAAATTGACATGCAAAAAAATACAGAACTGAGCTCCCAGGCCAGCCATGACCTCTGAGGCTGCCACTGGAGCTGGGAGTTTGAAGATACGCCCCATCTCTGCACACCCCTGCAGCTGTTTCTGGACATTCAGAAGGCAGGAGACTGCCGATGCAGAGAAATTTTAATTTTTGTAACCTCTGTCCACAGAAAGAGCCAAAGCTAGGAGGAAGGGGGCGCCTGTATCACTTCTGCCATCTAAATCACGTGTGAATGTATCTAATTAGGGAGTCCCACCTTGAATCCTCAACCTTAGATAAAGGAACTGTGGGAAATGATGCTTGTCGCATTCCAGCCTCTCCAACTCTGGGGATAGATGGTGATCATGTGAGTCAGTGAACAGTCCCAAATACAGGTAGCCAAGACAGAACTTCATTTGACACTCATCGGGGAGAGGAGGAGTTTAATAAAGTTAGATGGTAGCAAGGAGGCAGTAATCTTGAGAACCATAAATGTCAATCATTCGATGACCATCTTATCCTTGTCGCCTTGTGTCAGCAACTTAGAGAAAAAGTTCTCATAAAAGCGAATGAGCCATTTCACAGAAACCTCTCCAAGTCCCTAAGCAAACAAGCAGTCCTGCTTAGAGATTCATTAATGGGTTATACCCATGTCGGGGAGGGACTCATCCTTCAAATATACACAGCAGACATAGAAAAGAGCATGAGATCGTGGCAAAAGACAGTATCAGCAATGCCCACGTGGCAGAACAGCAGGCCTGACACACAGGCCAGCCAAGAGACCTGCACATCACTGGGACGTGGCTCCAGTGGCAGCAGTGGGGCACTGCTCCAGTCATCAGTCCCAAGACCAGACAGCGAGAGAAGAGGAGAAACCATACGCTCTCCAAGGCAGCTGAGATAACTGTTCAGGAAGGAATCCTGCAGAGGTTCAGAGGTTATTTGGATGCGTGGGAGAAGGGGCTAAAAGGCCAGGTAGTAGGTGATTGACTAGGACAACAGCCAAACTGAAAGTAACAATCAAGCCTTTCCTCACTAACTGTGACAGTGTAAGCAAGAGGCAAACCGGACTCTGCACACCCCTGCAGCTGTTTCTGGACATTCAGAAGGCAGGAGACTGCCGATGCAGAGAAATTTTAATTTTTGTAACCTCTGTCCACAGAAAGAGCCAAAGCTAGGAGGAAGGGGGCGCCTGTATCACTTCTGCCATCTAAATCACGTGTGAATGTATCTAATTAGGGAGTCCCACCTTGAATCCTCAACCTTAGATAAAGGAACTGTGGGAAATGATGCTTGTCGCATTCCAGCCTCTCCAACTCTGGGGATAGATGGTGATCATGTGAGTCAGTGAACAGTCCCAAATACAGGTAGCCAAGACAGAACTTCATTTGACACTCATCGGGGAGAGGAGGAGTTTAATAAAGTTAGATGGTAGCAAGGAGGCAGTAATCTTGAGAACCATAAATGTCAATCATTCGATGACCATCTTATCCTTGTCGCCTTGTGTCAGCAACTTAGAGAAAAAGTTCTCATAAAAGCGAATGAGCCATTTCACAGAAACCTCTCCAAGTCCCTAAGCAAACAAGCAGTCCTGCTTAGAGATTCATTAATGGGTTATACCCATGTCGGGGAGGGACTCATCCTTCAAATATACACAGCAGACATAGAAAAGAGCATGAGATCGTGGCAAAAGACAGTATCAGCAATGCCCACGTGGCAGAACAGCAGGCCTGACACACAGGCCAGCCAAGAGACCTGCACATCACTGGGACGTGGCTCCAGTGGCAGCAGTGGGGCACTGCTCCAGTCATCAGTCCCAAGACCAGACAGCGAGAGAAGAGGAGAAACCATACGCTCTCCAAGGCAGCTGAGATAACTGTTCAGGAAGGAATCCTGCAGAGGTTCAGAGGTTATTTGGATGCGTGGGAGAAGGGGCTAAAAGGCCAGGTAGTAGGTGATTGACTAGGACAACAGCCAAACTGAAAGTAACAATCAAGCCTTTCCTCACTAACTGTGACAGTGTAAGCAAGAGGCAAACCGGCTGCCAGCTGCCCAGTGTTCCAGTTTTCCCCAGGGAATGGTACTGGGCAAGGGTCAGGGGGATCAGTGGAGATAGCGGGGCAGTGCTGAGATGCTCTTGCTGCTGAGTAGCCCTAGACAAGAGGCTTCTGCCTTTTTTTATGGGCCCCAAGGTGTGGAGAGGGTGGGTGGAAGGACCAGGCATGCAAAGGTACAGACTCAGAGTTGAGAAAAGTGCCTCAGCCAAGGCCATCAGGAGACCTCTATCCAAAGACCGGGAATGCAGATGTGCAGGTGAGTGCGATGACTCAGGGGCCCTGAGTCCTTGACTGCAGCTCCCTCCAGAAAACTGCAAGGCAGTGGCTGTGTGCCCAGCCTGGTGTGGAGGACAGCTTACCCCCACAGCAAAACCCTTGTAATTACCTAGGGTTGGCCCTGAAAGATCCCACGTAAGAGTTTGATTTGGAGCTGGCTGGACCCATCAGGAAGGTGCAAGGAATGCTCTCTCAGTGGAGGATTAAAGTCCTGTAATGCAATGTGGGGTAGAATTATATAAATACTGTGTGTGTGGGTGTGTTGTGTGTGTGCATGTGTACCTCTATTAAGTCCCTGCTTTTATGGTGGTCTGGAGAAACAGATTACATATTTTTAGACTGCATCCACACAAAGCTATATAGAAAGATTTTTAAAAAAAAGATACCTATGAAGAAATGTACTATTTTTCAAAGCCTCTTGCTTATTTGTTCACCAAGACTGCCAGGAATGCCTTAAATTATAACAGTGATGTTAACAATGACTTTGGTGTCTGAATTTTTTTAACGGAACTTCCGAAATCTTTTAAAAACAGCAACAGGAGACCAGATGAGGGCAAAGCCCCCAGTCTCAAGCTCTAACTCTTCTTGAAAGATTTCCAGAGAGGTGGCCCTCTCCATTGCTGTGCATTAGCACACGATTCTTCATGCTCTGATTCTCGGATCCCTCTGACTTGCTGGGAAGCAGTGCCGACTGGGCAAAGGAAAGGTCATTCCTTCTTAGACTTTTGAGGAAGACCTTCTACATCCCATAGGCTATGTTTTGGTTTTGTATCTTGTGTGCACTTTTTCAAGGGAATCTGAGGGAAATGGGAATGGATGCACATCCTGAATTAAAACATGGGCTTTTCTTGTCTTGAGGACCAACAAAAAGGATTTGAATACTTCTAATTTCGGGAGTTTCTTTTAAAATACAGCTGCTGAAGTCCAATTATTTTCTGTTGATTCTTTTTAGTATTTGGCCTATATCTGGGACAGATGTTCCATTTCTGGCTGCCCAACACTTTCAAACATCCTTCTTATTTTAGGAAATGTTCCACTTCATAAGTTTCACCTTTTCAAGATTGAAAAAATGGATATTTCATTTGTTCAGCCTCCTTTGCAGCTTGAGCACAGGCACATAAATTGGTGCTGGTAATCTGCTACACCCCCAAGAGACTTCAGGTCAGAAGTGAGCAATGGGAGGAATACACTCTGTGTGGGCATCCATTTTACTGGAGAGAGTGGCAGCAGCGACTTGTGGCTCTCAGCAGAAGCTGTGATGGATAGCAAGGCAAAGCCTTTACAAGTGGAATCGGTGCTGGCAGCAGGAACAGCTGGAGCCAGGCTGAGTCACAGGCAGCCCTGCAAAGTCAACTATCTGGTGCAGTCGCAACATGTTTCTCCTGTACCCAACTCCACGGTGTGGTTTACACGTGTTAGTGGAACGTTAGCCCTGAGCTTGGTGTTCTCCACTGGAATTGTGTTGAATCTATACATCAGAACTAACATCTTACCAATGTTAAGTCTTCCAACCATGAACAAAATATGTATCCCCTTTTATTTAAATCTCTTAAAATTTCTGCCAGCCTGGTTTGTAGTTTTTAATGTACAGCTCTTGCAGACTTACCCCAAATATTTCACCACTTTTGTGCTGCTGTAGTGATACTATTTTTCAGTTTCCACTTCTGAGAGCTCACTGCTAATATGGAGAAACATGTTGAGTTTTGTATATTGATTTTGTATAGTGCAACTTTTCTAAATTGTTATTAGTTCTAGGAATTTCTTCATACATTTCTATCAGATTTTCCCATAGACAGTCACATCATATGTGAATAAAAGCAGTTTTGCTTCTTCCTTTCTGATCTTGATGACTTTTGTTTCTTTTCCTTGCCTGGTTGCACTGACTAGCAACTCCCTATATTGATCTATAAAAGTAATAAAAGTGCATGTCCTCGCCTTGTTTTTTATCTTAGAGAGAAAGTATTGAGTCCTTCATCATTCAGTGTGATGTCAGCTACTCATTTTTCCTCTATGTGCTTTATCAAGTAGGGAAAAAACACTTTAACCAGGAATAAAATTTTGCTAAATACTTTTGCTGTGGATGTTGAGATATTCACTATGCTTCATATTCTTCTGCTTCTTTTCATGCCTGGTAACTTTAGATTGGATG